AGTGTAAATTTTTTACACCCCATTTTTGCGTATAAATTATTTATACCACGTTTTGCGTGTAAATTTTCCGAGAGTGTAAAATTACACGCAAAGGATCTATCAGGTGATGCATCCAGGATCGGGCAATTGTGACTGAAGCGGCAGGATTTTTGAGTGCATTTGGACGCGTGGAAACGAATGCAAACAGCCTTCCCCTGAATCTGACGACTCCAATTGGCCGGCCAATTCTTGACCGTGATCTTGTCAGGGCTGGCGCCAGCCTTGGCAGAGGCCTGAGACTGATTCTTAGCCTTCTTGGCCGGGGCCCCACTGCTCTTCTCTGCCTTGCTCCCTGCAGAGCGCTTGCGGGCATCAGGAGAAGGTCCAGGCAACGAAACCGCCTTGGGGCGCGGCGCCAGTGCAACCAGAACATCTGGCCGCATGTGAATCATTTCTGCCACAGAGTCATCCAAAGACCAAGCGTGTTCGGTCTGCAAGGTGAGGACCCCCAACCAGAACACTTTGTCCGCTTGCATGATTTCCGTGAGATTAGGCGCTTGCAGAGTCTTGTCAGCAGGCTGTGCAATGGCATGCGCCACAAAACGTTCTTGCATTTTGCGCAGCGGGAAGAGATGCATCGCAGACAACATGGCTAAGGCATGGCACAGAATCTCGATGTACCGGCGCACTATCGGCTCCAACGGCCCTGATGTAGGGACCGTCACTGACATCCAGTGCGCACCGGACGGTGCTCCGTCCAACTCGCCTCATCAGCTTCGGAGGTGCGGTAGCGCCAGGCAATCCAACCCATGCTCTTAGCATCAACCGCATCCTTGGCCTGATTCAAGAATGACAGCGAAGGCGAAGTCTCAGGTCGCAAATATTCAGAAGGGTACTTGCGTTGAAACTCCTGCAGGAGCGTGATCTTGTCGGCCGCCGTGATTCTGGATTTGCTCGGCAGAGCCACAGGCTGTCCAGCTGAGGCACCAGCGGACGGCGCTGGCAACACTAGCATGCGAGAAGCTTCATGCACAATGCGACGAAGTGCGGCAGCCTCAGGCGTGAACAAAGGCTGATCTGGCGAGTGGTCAGTGGGGCGTCCCAGCGTGGCCACCACAAACATCTCGAGCTGATCCAAGGACGGCAATGCATGGGCAATAAGCGACAAAGTGGTATACCCCTTCTGCTGCAAGACACCACGCAGCGACTCGGGAATCTTCCATGACTGCAGCAGAGCGGTAAAGTAGGCCTCGTCATCGGGTTGCACCGCCGACATGATGAAACACTGCAAGCTTCCCTCCAGGCACGAAAACTGCAGCGACAAGTGGACAACTCAAGTACTTGCGGCATGCACAAACAACAGCGAAAGCAACTACATAGCGGTGGAATCTGCAATGCGACCGCACATTTCGCCCGAACTGCTAGCTCGGATGAACGACTTCCCAAAAGAGAAGTAGTGTAGCACCTGTGCATGCAGGCTGCATAGCCCAGCGTGGACCACTGCAATAACTCTGCAAGTACAGAAATACAAGTGCACACAGCTGAATGGAAGCCGATGCTAGCCAGGACCAGCGTGATCCGAAGGCGCAGCCAAGAAAACAGCTTTGCAGGCTCACGCAGAAACAAGTCCCTTAAGGCTAAGCCGTGCAACAGCGTGTCACAGGCAGACTGCCGGTAGGCGAACCGGCGAAGCCCGAACAAGGGATGCCTCCTGCTCAAAAACGACTGCAAAGTGAGTCCCCCGAGGCAACGCGCTGTAACAGCGTGTCACAGGCAAACAGCCAGTAAGCTCAGTAAGCGAACCGGCGAAGCCCGAACAAGGGATGCCTCATGCTTGCAAAACTGAAGCACACCCGAATTTCAGGCACATCCTGACGCCTGCAGGCAGCTCGGTCGCAAGATGAAATGCTTCAAAACACCCCCGAACCGAACAACCAGTTCGCAAGAACCTGCCAGCCGAAGCGTTTGACGGCAAATGCTGCACTGCAGGATGCGTTTCCTCACAGCCCTTGGCTACGTGAGCCACGCCAGATGTCTGGTTGATAGGTACCAAATCTCCTCAGGAGGGCCCAACGATGCCAGGTCCGGCCCAGACATCCCAGCAGCAGCAACTTCAGGCGCAGGCCCAGAAGAAGAAGTCGGCCGCGGAATGAGGGTGACCGCCGAACCCTGAGGCATGGAACGATCACGCGCAAGTCCCTTGGGATGAAACCCAGCATCATCATCCGACTCTGATGAGGTGCAAACTTCGGCAGTAGGCATCTGGCAGTCAGCCAACGCAGGAATCCGAACGTCCTCGCCTGCGTGCTCCTCACGAAGACGAACCATCACATCTGGAGCAGGAGGTCTAGATCCACGCATTTGCATGCGCAAAGGTCTGAATCTTGCACAATTGCCTCGCGCAGTTGCTTCTGCACTTGGATCGGCCCGGAGATGTCGTCCCTGCTGTAAAGGTCGACAGTCTTGCTGGCAGCAACCCGATGATGCCCTTGCTGGCGACGAAGGTCTTCGGGAAGATTGAGCTGCTTGGCAAAGGACAGCAGAGTCACTTTGAAAGAGTGCACGCCAATGAGCGCAAGGTCCGGGCGCTCCGCAACAGAATAGGCAGCATAGCACTGATGCAGCAGCCGAAGCAGCACAACGAGTGCAGCCTCACGGCTCAGGCCAAGAATGACGGGTGCAGATACCTCCTCACTATAGTGAGCAAAGAGAAAGTCTGGGCTGCATCCCCCAACGGCTGTAGTCCTTGCAACCGCTGCTTGCAGCAGCTGCAACCACGCACGTCCCCATTCCCGTTCCCGGAACCCCAGGGTGAGGAGCCCGAACGGCATTGAACGCCTGGTCGTTTTCGTTCTCGTAGCTGACCCCAACAAGACCCCGGCACTCACATGCAACTGAGACGGGGAACACCATTGCGCGTCCCCAACACGCAACGAAGCCCAGGTGGCTACCAACATGACGCCGGCATGCAAGCGATCTCGCACGTCAGCTGCAGCATCCATCACGACGTCCTCCAAGAAGACCAGGAATGAGAGCGGTAAGGGAGCGGTCTCTCGCCTCTCGACAATCTCGCCGCTGGTAGCATACATCCGCTCCACATCCGAACCGAGCAGGTCACGCAATGGTTGGAGATCAAGCTTGCGCGCGACAAAGCGCAGGGCTTTAATGCAACTCTGGGCACTGTGTATCCGGCCACGTGCCTCGCAGTGCACAAAATCCGCGAGAGCACTGATGTCTGGGCTGATGAGTGGCACATTCTGCACTGAAGCAAAGTCACGCCAGACGGACCATTTGGCCAGGTACCCCGCCAACGTGGAAGGTGCGTTGGCCGCAACAAGCCTCGTGATGTGCTCACGCCACAGCGGTGACGACTGCAACTTACGAAGATGATGATCCGGCGATAGCAAAAGGATCACACTCTCAGCCAGTTCCAGCCAACGATGCTTTTCCAGATTTAGTGCAGTATTAAATGCTTTTTTGTTAGTGCAATGTTTATTGGAAAAGGGCTTCAAGGCAGGCAGATTTAGTGGTAGTGGAGCTGAGTTTTTGGACACCGAAGGTTGCGCGGGAGATGTGGCCAACGAAGGTGCAAGGGTAGAAACACTCCCTCTAAACTCCAACAAGACTTGCGTACCAATAATGGAGCCGAGACAGCAGCACGAGTCGATGCCACAGGCACTCCTCCAGGCTTGAAAGAGGGGTTGAGCTCCCCGTGGCGCCAGCGAGGCACATCACTAGCCATGATTAGACTATCGAGGACCCGAAACCCAACTTGAACAAGCGCATGCCAGCAGATCGGTGCAGCTCGGAGGGGCAAGACTGCACACTGCCACAGCAACACTGAAGGTCATGCGACGCCCCCAATTCCCCTTGTTTTGGCAAACCTTCACCGGCAACGCCCATTGAATCAGCACTGCCACGGAGACAAAACCTACGAAATTAAGTCAAAAAGGCTCAACCGTCCTAGCCAAAACTCACAAACCAGGCGGCACAGACGAGTTCTCCGGCATGCTGTGGTCCTGCAGAGCAAGACGCAGTGACGCCACCATGGACTCCAAGGCTTCCAAGCGCTGCAGCAGACTGCGAGGACGATCAGGCGGACGAGGTCCCAAAGTAGACCCAACGTCAAGCTCCAGATCATCGAGGCGTGAGGAAATGGCCGGTAGAACATGTTCCGCAAGCTCATGCACAAAGCGGCATAGATTTGTCAGCGGTCTAGAGATGCATCAACCCAGTGCTGATGCACACGCCCAAACTCCGCCACGGGCAGATGTCGTAACTGTTGCAGCCGTGGCAAGACGTCCAGCAATAGTGCCGTGAAAACACCTGGGTCGGCAAAGAGGCGATTCACAGGCACATCAAGATGACCTTGGTGGGGCTGACGGCAATCAACCGACGAAGGCGGCTCACCATGCACATCCAAACCGGTCCTTGGCCCCGGTCTCGACTCCAGCTCGCCGAGACGCACCTCGATCTGTGCCAAGCCATCTTGAACGTGACTGGCAAGCTGATGCAGCTGCACTTCCAGCAAGGACAATCGAAATTGTGCCTGAGCAGAGTCCATGTGAAGCAACTCAGTAGGACCAAGTTGCGAAAGAATTAACGCGCATTGAGCACTGACAAGCTGCAGGACTGAGACTGCAAGCAGCTCAACCACACCTGTGTCACGTTTGCTGGCTCCGAAATCGCACATGCACTGGGAACAGCAACACAGACAGCGGCTGACAGAAACGACATACGACGATCCTTTTCCCAGAGACTTCGGATCGTTAACTTGCAAAGTGAAATGCAAAAGGGATGCCTGAGCTGGCCACACAAGCGACTCAACCTGCAGGCTGAGGTGCCATGAAACAGGGGTTAACGGCTGCGGCGATTCGGGTACCCAAGCCCTAAGCAGAACCGCAACCCAACCCAGTGCAGGGAGCCGGGAAACAAGGGCAACCGGCGAGGCAAGGGGAACCCTAGGGAACGGGATCCTACTAGACCACACCCGAAAAAAATGCCAAAGACGGCAGCAGCGTATCCCACGGCAACATTCCCACCTGGCACAGATGGCACTGCAAGAAGTTCAGTGACCCGGCACCGATGGCAAATTCGTGTGCAAGCCAAGGCCGAACACCGAGCAAGAATTTGTCCTCTTGAACATATTTGAAAGTGTCACGGCATATGCAAGTACCATGTGAGAACAGGAAGTGGGCGGCCCGAACCATCGCGAGCAACGCTCAAACCTCCACTGCCCTGGCTTCAGGGCAGCTTCGACAGTAAGAGCCTCGCCCGCGACAGTTCTAGCAGCCGTCTAGTCCAGCGTGTGTAAGTCCAGCCCCTTGTGAACAGGTGGGCGAGCAGCAGCCAAACGTCGGACCTGTGCCTCCAAAGCTTGAACACGAGCCTGCAAGGCACGATTCTGTTCAAGCAGCCAGGCAATACGGAGTTGGTCCAGCTCGAGCTGACCGATCACCCACGCAAACTGCTCTCGAACAGGATAGCCATCCATGAGGAAGGAACTACGCGCTAGCCCCCCCAGCACAAGGAAGCTACCTAAAGTCGAAAGCCAAACTGATGCGATCAGCTTGAACAGGAATGGCAGCCGCAACGAGGACTGAGTTCCCAAACGCAAAATAAAATTTGCAACGAAATTCAGTGCAATCAGCATGCCTTCCGGGCCAAAGTAGGAAACACAAATGTTAAAAACATAATCCGCGATTGCCAGTCTTGATCTGGAGTCAGTTCAGGCTGCCTACAACGCAGACGTTCTGAAATTGACTACGGACATGGGTCGTTTCGGGGAGTATTCACTGAAAGTCTCAGCTGGGGAGCGTCAAAAGTCGATTGCAAGGGTCTTGAAAATCAAGTCGGAGAATCGACGAGGTGCTGGGCTAGTTTGCCAGCGGATGGACAGGAATGCAAAATTTGCTGCAGCAGACTATGCGGAGGAGCACCTGAACATCGCAGACGTGGGGAAATCTAGGTTCAACCCCAAACATCAACTCTAATGCCAAAACCCCAAGACCTGCAAATTGAATCATTACAACAGTTAGCAATGTATCTTCGCACTATTAACCCTAAAATTTGGTAACCCGCTGAATCTTAAAACCCCTAAACACCTGAATCCCAAAAAACCCTCACCACCTGAATTCCAACAAAACCTATAACCCAAAGAATTAATGTGGAGTCCTCTTAGATTTGCCCCCCTGAGTGGATTGGTGGTTTCGCGCCGGCCGCCGTCGTGGTATGGCTGGCTTTCACGAAGTTTGGCACGCTCCAAGCGGACACCCTCGATCAGGGGATTGAGCAAGTGCGTCGTCTTTGCAACGCTTACCCGAACAAAGCTGCTGCATTCATTGTGGCCCCTGCGCTGGTAAGCTCCAAGGTCGTCGCAGGAAAGCGCGGCGAGAATAGGCCCTCTAGACGAAATAAAAACTAAACTTAGTAAAAAATCAACATAGTGCTGGTCCCTTGGAATCAAACCCAATGAAGGAGGATCGAGGATAAGCTTGATGCGGAATCCCTCAGCTCAGCACGGGTTTCGATTCGGATGGATGCGGGACATGGCAACCGGCGACTCCCTCTTCTTTTCACTTCGTGGATCGCTGTGCATGATTCCGCCCAACGCAATATCTTCAACAACTCCCGGATGCTTGTTACGGAGCAGCTTGTATGATAAGTTGATTTTGCCCTTTCCGGATTTTCCGGTATATCCCTGGATGATCTAAACCCTAAGCCCTAAGCCCTAAGCCCTAAACCCAGGTGTACCCGTTCGGAGATCTCATGGCTTCCCACCCGCGAGCTCCGCGTCCCCCGAAGCAAAGACAGTGCGCCATGCACTACAGAAGCTTCGGACAGGATCGACTTCCACTAAAAGTTCCCTGAAGCTAGAACATACTCTAGACCCTGAAATTAAAGCTCCTGCAGGAGCCTGTCGGCCACACAGATGGCGGCGCAGTACTTGGGAAGCGAGGTCTTGGCGAGTTTGCTGGAGGAGTGTTTAGGGTTTATGGTTTAGGTTTAGTTTAGGGCGCAGGGTTTAGAATTAAGGGTTTTAAGTTATAAGGGTTAGGGTTGAGGGTTTAGGGTTTCAGGTTTATTAGGGTTTAGGGTTGAGGGTTACCAGTTCAATGTTTAGGGTTGAGGGGTTTAGGGTTGAGGGGTTGGGATTTACGGTTATGGGTTTATGGTTTGGGGTCTTGGGGTTCAGGTTGGAAGTGTCACCTAGTAAAATGAGCCAATTTGAAGTTAGCGTTTGGGCGCCTGAAGCTTCAGTTTCGGATTTGTGTCGGCGCAGGATCTTGATGGCGTCACCCAGGGCTCGGTGGTGTGTGTCGTGAACTTGGAGCGCGCTTGCATCAGCAGTTCCATGGATGGCACTGGTCCGAGGATGGGGTTGGGTATCAAGTCTTGTTCTATTTGGGCTCTAGGTAGCCTTCTTATTCAACCTTAAGTCTGAACCCCGAAACCTAAACCTCAATTTAAAGTCCTGAGTCCTGAGTCCTAAGCCAACAGGATGGTGAGCTACAGCTGCAGCCCGGACATCACGAATGCCCAGTACGCGCAAAGGATTGTGGCACAGCGCTTGCTGGAGGCCCCAACCATTGTATGAGATGCTGAAAGTCGTCAGCACTTTATGGAAGCCCCAACCGTTGTATGGGATGTTATCACTTTATGGAGGCCTCAACTAGGGTATGAGATGTTTTTTCCCACTAAATCCCCCAATGGAGGCCTCCACCATTGTATGAAATGTTTTCCCAACAAACCCTAAATCTCTTTAGGAAGGCCTCAACCACTGTATGAGACGCTATCCCATTCATCACTTTAGGCACAGCTGCCCTAACCATTGTTTGAATCAATTTCCCGGGGTGGCGTTGTGCGTCTGAGTCAATGTAGGTTAACGGTTCGGTTTCTTCAAGGTTGAGGTTTAGTGTTTAGGGTTCAGGGGATAGTGTTTAGGGTTTAGAGTTTAGGGTTTAGGGTTTTACATTAAATCTAAAGGTTAGTATTTTGGGTTTAGGGTTTAAGTTTAGGGTTGAAGGTCTAAGGTCTAGGTTCCGCGTGTAATGTTGTGGTTCATAATAGGCAACCTTCAACCTTCAGCCCAAACAAATCCCTACACTCAAATGACGACGAAACAATTAACAGTAACAGGACTGGAAAGGTGGTCACCATCCATTGGGTCCGGTTGCCGCCTACTCGCCTACTTTGGAAGAAGGTGACAGTGCCATCAAGGATCCTGACTTGCTGCTCTGTCAAATGGTCAAGGATGGCAATGGATCTTGGTTGGTTTTGAGCAATGCTATCAAGGCGAAATGGGCTGATGATCCCATTCGTCGTGAGCAGTGGTTGGCAGAGCTCAAAGAGTTTGATGCGAGGCTGGTTTATAGAACATTGTCCATAAAATTTGGAAAATAATCCTATCACACCGGGACCACCATAATAAACCCTGAAACCTATTCCTGAATAGAAATCCCTGAACGCCCTACAGGTTCCCAGCATCCTCGACCCCGGCTCCGGAGACGACCGCCGTCGTGCCTGCTGCTGCCGCTGCTCCAGGCAGTACGTCGACTTCGGCCTGGGCGGGAGAACCCACGACGCTGGCCCAGTTGGAGAGCACTTATGAGGTCGTCCTGAGTGTTCCCGGACGCAATCCCACAACCCAGTTGAAAGTGGGGAAAGCCACGCCGAAAGATGGATCTGAGCCAACCAACATCGTCATGGAGCAGGAGCACAAACTCTTTGTTGTGGCTTGTCTTCACGTGCAATATTTTGACCCTGGGTTCCCCTGAACTTAAACCTAGACTTGAATTTTGCAATGAGGTCGCTTTGGAAAAGAACACGCTACTTGCTGATCACTTTGTCATTGCCCGCAACAGGGCAAATTTTTATGCCGGCCAACAAGATTCAGAAGCTCCTTGAGTCCGGAGGACTGACGGTCACTCGCTGTGGGGTTTAAGATTTACGCTTGAGTTTGGAGTTTAGGGTTTATAGGGTTTGAGGTTTAGGGTTCAGCGTTCAGGGTTTAGGGTTGAAGGTTTAGGCAGGTTTACAGTTTATGGTTTTAGGGTTTTGGATCTAAGGTTTAGGGTTATGAGTTGTGGCCCACGCTTTCCGTCATGTTCATGTTCTTGTCCCCCTGTGACATTTTTCAGCGGATGCGCTAGTTGCTAGAATCCCCTAGCCTTGTGGCCAGAGCCGGCTATAACACCATGGACATGGATGCATTTGCTGCCGAGATGTATGACTACATGGAGTCATCGACACAGGTGGCCCAAGGCTTGGTTACGCCCTCATCGACCAGTACCAGAACCCCTTCCGGGAGTGTTTCTGCATGCAGCAGCCCAACTTCTGAGGAGAAGCCGCTTGTGAACAAACCATCACGTGGCAGCCCTTTGAACCCAACGCTTCCTTCTGCTACAAAAGCTGGTGGCATTCATACACATCGACCACATGAAGAAGAACATCGCGGCCGCCAAGGCTGAGGTGGAGGCGGAGATGAAGGGCGTGAAGCGGGCTGCCGACGCAGACCTGAGCAAGGATGGGTTTGAGCCAGTCGTGAGTTCAGTGTTTAGGGTTTAGGGTTTAGGGTTTCAGGCTTGGGGTTTAGGGTTTAGGGTCTAGGGTTTAGGGTCTAGTTTCTCAGGGTTTAGGGTTTAGGGTTTATGGTTGAGGATTGAAGGTTGAGGGTTGGGGGTTGAGGGTTGAGGGATTAGGTTAAAGCAGTGCTGGGTCTAGGCTGTTTATGGTTCATAGGGTTCATGCGTGGGTTCTAGACTTTACAGTCTGCCATGTCGGCTTGGAAGCTTTGGATTTAGGAACCGGTTTCAGGTTTAGCTTGAGGTTTAGGGTAGACTACTTGGGTTCCCAAAAATGGGGTTTAGGCATTAGGACCCTAGGCCTTACATTAGTTATGTTTTTCCAGACCCTGACCCGAGGACGCTGAGACTGCTTGACCGGGCCCGAAAACCAAGCGTGCCAAAAACTTGGCTGAACAGAAGGCGGTCGCAAAAGATGGCATCCTGGACTTGTCCTCGGCGGTAGCCAGTCTGAAACTTTCGCAGGCTGCCATCCAGCAGCGCAAGGCGCTGGCCAAGTCGACCAGCAAGAAAAAGAAGGATGATGAGGATGGGGACTCGCAGAACCCCAAGAAGGAGGAGGAGGAGGAGGAGGATGAGAAGGAGGCTGGAAGCCTCGAGGATCATGAGCAGGTGGATTCCGACGAGGAGATCAACAACAAAATCCGCGCTGGCCTGATCAAGGTGAAGCGTGCCACCGCCAAGGCCAAGATGGTGGAGCCGAAAGCCAAGTCCAAGCCGGCCCAGCAAAAAAAGACGGCCCAGGAAAAAACGACGGCCCAGGAAAAGACGACGGCCCAGGAAAAGACGACGGCGCAGGAAAAGACGGCCGGCAAGGAAAAAACGACGACCAAAAAGACGAAGCTCACCACAGCAAATGGGGAAAAGCAGCAGAAGCCCATTCTCAACAGCTTCCTAGCCAAGGAGTGGCTGAAGTTCCGGGGCGAGGTCATCAATGAGCTTAAGGGCAACATGCAGTACATCGAGATGGTCAAGGAGGCAGCGCAAAGGTGCCTTGCCTCATTCATGTCCGAGCCAAAATCACTTTTTGTTATATTAAAGGGTCAGGGTTTAGGGTTTAGGGTTTAGGGTTTATAGTTTAGGGTTTAGGGTTCAGGATTTAGGGTTTAGGGTTGAAGGTTAAGGGTTTAGGGTTTAGGGTTTAGAGTTTAGGGTTTAGGGTTTGGGGTTCAGGGTTTAGGGTTTAGGGTATAGACTTAGACATTAGGCTAGGATTTCGCCAATTTTGACCCTACACCCATGACCGTAAACCCCAACCCCTCCACCCTAAACGCCAAACTCCTAACCCTAAGCCCTAAACCCTAAACTGAAATCACATCAACCCCAGGTGGAAGACGCATCCTGCCCGTGTACAGGCAGCTGAGGGGCTTACTGAGAAAGAGCTCAGACGCCACCGTTGGAACTGATGCAGTTTCCTGCGGAAGAGGTTTAGGTTCACTGGCCTCCAGCCTTAAATAAATAGCCCAGAACCCCTGGATATATTCCAACCGTGAGCTAGGCGTGGACCCAAGGCCCGGGACACCCTCCTAGCCACTGCAGGCAATTCCCAAATGACCGTCCCGTAAAGGAGACCCGCCTATGGCATGACGCATTGCTTGCAGATTCCGCCATCGGCCGAACCCCCGTATAGACAAGTTTGATCAGGCGTGGTATGTAAGACTCAAGCAGGTGGCGTTGCTGACTGTCACCAATTCCTGCTCGTGTGAGCCTCCACCGCTGAGCTCTGCGAAGGGGAGCTGCGCTGTGAGTAGTGTCGTAGAAGCTATGAGGTCATGCGATGCCTGTTCGCCAGGAGCCGAGTCCAGCGCCCTGTACAACATCTCGACAGCAAATGCCGTAGAGCTGGGAAAGGTGGTGCGTCCGATGATGTCTAGGATGATCTCACGGCTTTCCTCAGCAAAAGGTGGAAGACTCTCAAAAAGTGCGCGGCAGCAAGTAGCCCTCCAGACTTGAAGCCTCCTCGCCGTCGTGCGCAATTTCGGCTCCGACCACATCGTCGTCAGCGCCGCCTGCTGGAGGTCGTTTGCTCGATGTTCCACCGATGCCTCTGTTTTTCCCACGCCGCTGGCGGCCAGCCTCGCACCACTTGCCCAGCAACAAAGGCAAGCCAGTGTTAGCAGCCTGCACGAAACACCCATGGCAGCGCGACGAACTAGCCGTGCTAATCCAAAAGAGAGGCCCCGCACAAGGCAGAGCCCACTAATCGGCCTCAATGATTCTTCGGTATTAAACGCAAGTAACGCAAACACCGAGGCAGCCTCGGTGTCTTCTCTTTTTTGGTGTGTTTCTAAACCTGACGAAGGGGCTTCTGGAACCTCAGTGGTTTTTATGCTACCTCGTCCCGATTGCCCACGAGGTGACCTCGGGGGCCCCTACTTTCTCACTGAGGCAACCTGAAAACCCTGCGACCCGATCCCCTCGAGCCTCGCCAAAAACTAAAATCTTTTTGGGGGTCGGCGGCATTGGCGGCAGCCATTAAATGTCCCAGTCGCAAGCTCTATGATTGGGCGGTCAGTAATATTCGGATAAGAACTGAAAAAAGTAGCCTACCCCAAAACCCTAAACCCAATCCCAAACCTCAAGCCTAAACTTCCACTCAGACCGAATTTCAGTTTAGTACCCTTGGCCTCCAAGTTAGAAGTACCCGGAGCCTCGAGGTAGGGATTCAAGTCAGCAGATCTCACGGGCCTCTGTCATTTCCGCGGTGCTCGGAGAGTACATAATCAGTTCTGCGAGGGTTTCACATTATCTTGTTCTAAAAAGGGAGGGCTGAAGTTGCTGGAACAAGCTGTGCCAGACTAAGAACATAGCCTAAACCCTTTTTTTGCATCAGGACTTGTGCAATCGCCTGAATATCCGAGCCCGCATTTACCCTAAACCCTAAACCCTCAACGTGGTTTTGGGGATCCCCAGCAATACTCTTGTGAGACTGCCTCCCGTGTGAACCTCCAAACCCTGAAATCCACAGCCCTGAGCCCCCACACGCGGCACTGCCGGTAGGTTGGGGGTAAGGTATGAAGCTTCTTTGAGTGTACTGAACTTCAATCCCAAACTAGAGGACATCTAACCAAAATTAACATGATACCTTGTGTTAAGATTCCATTAAACAGTCACGGTTTATTCGGAATAGAACCACTGTCAGGTGTGTAATGACCGCAGCCGGCCTTGAGCCGGATCTCGCTGATGATGACAGGTCTGCCACTTACGATGGACAGGGCTAATCGCTGCCGAAGGAAGCTGCTTCCCGTGTACCTGCACTCGCGGTTTTGGGACGTCGCAAAAACAAGCATGGAGTATGAAAAGGCCTTTCGAAGAAGCAAAAGGGGACCCTTGCATTTTGCAACCAATGATTCGGCAAAGGGCTCCGCAAGAGGGAACCTTGTTTCAAGCTCCATGTTTGCTGGGAAGTGCACTTCACAAGGAACATAACAAATCATGCATCACAGGCGAGACATGATCCCTTTGCCCTTTGCAGTACCTGCATCAAGTAGCTCAAAGGCTTAAGTTTTGTAAGGTTTGAGTTCCAGGGTTGAATGTATGCGCTCTCGGAAGGTTCCGTGAGGTAAGAATGTTTTTTGCTGCGGAGGCCTTTTCGAAAAGGAGGCCAGGTATGTTTTTTGCTGTGGAGGCCCCGTGTGTGTGTGTGTTGATTTTTGCTGTGGAGGCCGGGGCCCGGACTCACTCACTCGCTCCTCGGCTGAAGACTCCACCGTGACAAAAAACGCCACAGCAAAAAAAACCTGGGTCCCCAAAAGGAACGTTTCGTGGCGACTAGTGACTGAAATGACGTTGCAACCCGGAGAACAAAACACCGTGCTGAAAGGCAAAGATTCCCTCTGAAGGCCTCAACCAGGTGCCACTCATCAGCGCATGCAATCATGGACAAAGGACGCCAAGCTGCCAATCCTGCCTTTTGCTGCCACAAGACTTCATAAAGTGTTACAAGCTTGAGGTACCCGACGGCAGACAAGCTATGCCGTCCGCACTAACAAATGCTGTTGTCCTTTTGCGATGCAATCTCTACTTGAACCATATTCCATGCAGCCCAAGGTTTTGTCCGCGGTCTGTTTTCGTGCGCATGCAGCTTCCAGCAAAACATTCGACCTTCCCAGATTGACTACTCTACCATTGATTGCTTTCTTCTAGATTGAATCGGCAGCAGTTCAGGGATCAGCGTTTCGCAACTTGGGTCA